ATGTTGGTCTAGGATGATTTGTTCTTGGCAAATCCATGCTGGCTATTCCTTATCAACCTATTATCCTCTAAGGGCTTTACAAACTGATTAATAATTTGTTCCAGTATTTTTCCAGGTATCAAAATTGGGCTGACTGGTGTAAAATTTCCCAGACCCCCTTTGTTCTTTTTTTTAAAGGTATGTGCTACGCATGCCCTTCTCTAGTCCTCTGGGACCTCACCCATCTTCCATGAGTTCTCAAAGATGACCCCTAATGGTTCCGAGATTGTTTCAGTTAGGCCTTGTCTACGCTACTGCAGCAAGTCTACCTAAGTCATGCTTCTCCGGATACACGAATAACGTAGCTGGGGTTGACACAGCTTAGGCCGACTTACTGCTACCTCTACACCACACTGTGTCAACGGGAGATGTGCTCCCATCGATTTACCTTAATCTTCTCGTTCCAGTGGAGTACCGCAGTGGACTGGAGAGTGCTCTGCAGTCGATTTAAAGGGTCTTCATTAGACCCGCTAAATTGACGTCTGCTGCATCGATCACAGCAGCGTTGATCCCTGGTAAGTATAGACATGCCCTTAGTTTCTTTAATACGCTAGAGTGAATTTTATCAGGCCCTGCAGACTTGAAAACATACAGCTTACCCAAATATTTTTTAACCTGTTCTTTCCCTATTCTGGTTTGTGATCCTTCCCACCTGTTGTAAATATTAATTGTATTGAGTATCTGGTCACAATTCACCTTTTTAGGTAAAACTGCTGCAAAATGGGCATTAAATGTTTCAGAATTTCTGGATGGTATTATCTGTCCCTCGCTAAATAGTGGATTTACACTTTCCTTTATCTGGCTCTTGCTCTCAATGTATTTCTAGAACCTCTTTTTATTGCCTTTTATGTCTCTTGCTAGGTGCCACTCATTTTGTGCCTCTGCCTCATTTTGTCTCTACGTGCTTATGATATTCTTTTGTACTCATCCTTAGCAACAAGTCCAAATTTTCACTTTTTGTAGCATTCCTTTTAGTTTTTCATATCTTTAAAGAACTCCTGATGCAACCATATTGGCCGCTCACTAATCTTTCCTTCACATCAGGATAGTTTGCTGTTATATCTTAAATGTTACAATGTTCATTATGCTCCCTGGTTTACTGAGGATGGCAGAAGATGTTTCTTTGGTGGGAATGATAGTGCTAGTTTTTGCCAAAGGGCAAAAAATTAGGTCATCCCTCCAGGAACCTATGAACATGGTTGCCTCCTTTTGGGCAAATTGTCATGAGTCTTGTCAAAGAAGAGGTTAGGGTCTCAAACACTACCACCACCACATCAAAATCACTTCATCCTGAATTTCTGGAATAGTCAGAATGTCTCAACTGAGAGTGCCTTACAATAATATTGTTTTATATATAACTTGCAAAAAAAGATGCAAGATACTATATTAGAGATTAGAAATTTCAGTTTTTGCATTATAGAAGACAAAAGTTTAACTAATGACAGCTAAAGGCAAACAATAGATAACAGCCCTCCAAGTCACTTACCAACTGTCAAGACATCATCCCTAGGTCAGCAGCCTATTTATTGTCACACTGAATGTCATGTATGCAGCAGACAGTTTTGACGTTAGGTAGCCAGTTGTTTTAGCAAGTTGGGCAACCAGTTGTCTTAGCAATTACGTAAAGTAGGTTTTTATGTTACATTTCCCTAGTGTAATATGAGAAAAATCCACAACAATGAAATATGTCTACACATGACTAAGCTGTCTCTTACAATATCAATAAGAAAGTTCCAAATGAATTCAAAAATTCTGCATCCTTGTCTTCTAGCTAGTAATCATAGTGATATACTAAGAGAAATAGGTAATAAGCCTAGAAATAGTGTTTAACTGACATTAATAGTATCTAGCTAATCCTGCTTATTAAGTTTTATTGACAACCGGAGCACAGCATTTTTAAAAAAGGTATTTTCATCAACTTAGTTTATCAAGGAAATATTAATCAAATATAATTAAATAGTCGAAGCCCTCTATTAGTTTAACAGAGACCATCACAAGTAATAAAAGTAAAAGTAATTACTTTGACATTTGCAGAACTCAGAATGTATTGCAGGTTACATTGCAGCAGTTTCATGTTTAACATGTTTTTACGTGCAAGAAATATACCAGCAAGACATCAGAATTCTGAAAATCAAATGGGAATTTAAAAAATTGGTAACCCAGGGTGCCTGTTGATAATACTGTATTTTCTATCATTCTTAGCTGTTGGGCTATGTAATTTTTTGCTGGAGAAATTTTTCTGTGAATATTAGGTTTCTTGTTTAGTTCTTTACACTTTAATAGAAATAATCATTTTTGTGAATATACGCTATATAAAGCAGAACAAATATACACAATTCTGATATATTCTGCTCATTCCTTATTCATAGAGTCAAGAAAGAAAAGAAGAAATATGGTGAGTTTGCTTTTACCATTCCACTTAAAGAAGATAAGCAAACACTGAAGTGCACATACTAGCTACATTCTAATGAGAAAACTAATAAGACTTAAATTTTAAGTCTTGCAGTCTCTGTTTTTCTTTATGCTATTTTTGTGCCTTCTCTAGGAGTGACTGCTTTTTCCTATGTGAAATCAAAAGCTTTTACCACTTGTATTTTTTCACATATAAAGCTTCATAAAGTATATTACTGCATGATTTAATCTTACTCTTAAGAATCTAATTTCTTGCCCAACTAAACAAAAATTATTTGGACCTCTAATCTTGAAGTTCTAATAGATTCCACATAGTGAAATTCTGTGAATAGGAGTCTTTTGATCCTGCGGAATACATCAGGTGAGGAAATAGAATTCTTGTTCTTATCTGATCCTCAATTCTTATATTAATCTTTTCCCAGAATTAAGATAAATACATTCTCTCAGAAGGCAGTTACAATTATTTTTTTCCTGACTCTGAAAATGAAGGACTCCTTTTTTCCCCTGAAGGATGAGAGAGGGAACTGAGCAGAAAAAGCCCTTAGTACTGTCCTCCCACCTCTTGCAGCACTTCGGAGGCCAACTCACCCAAAGGGAGCGGAGATAGGAGAATAGCTCTGACTGTAGCAGGCAGTTCTACTCAGAGTTCACTGGTGGCCAATGCACTCCTCAGAGTGGTTGTATCACTTTAGGGAAAAGAGTTTCTGTGTGTCCAGCAGCCTCACCTCACACAGACAGATATTTGATGTGAAAAGGGTCCTTGGCCCATCTCTGGGCGTACCCCTGCACCCTTCCTCACTACTGAATAGACTAGGGTTGGAGTGGAGGCCAAAAAGAAAGTTCACTGCCTGAGGGCCTTCCCAGCCTTCTACCCACATTAATAAAGGATTTTAAGGGATTCATCTCTCTATGCGGTCCTCTCTATCCCCTCCTGCCAGCTCTATAAACAGTCTCAAAGTGGCTCCTGCAGCGGTAGCAACTGGGCTGCCTGCTCCTGCTGTCGCCATAAAAGTGCCTTAGCAGGGTGCTATTGCCCCTACTGCTTTGCATTTAAAAATAATATTTTTATCTACTTACTGCTCCTGATTCTCCTCTTAATTTTTTATATACAAATAAATGAGTGTCAGGAATAATGCAACACTATCCTAAGTAAAATGCATGTAATCTACAAGACAGATTCAGTTTGTGGAGCTCTTCTACCGATGCACATGGGGGACATTTATTTAATTTTTCTTTCATATAGTTCCCATTCCATTTTACAAGAACAGATGGAATGAAGAAAAGTTAAGATAAAAAAGCATTGAAGCAACTAGCTAAGAAATTGGAGAATATACACATTTTTATTGGAAGTGATTAATTAAAGTTTACACTATAATTATGATCCTATTAATGTACATTTATATAACTGATTTTTTTCTTTACCCTTTTTGGTTATCTTCCACCTGTTCCAGGTCATCTTAACAAACCAACTTTTTATGTACATCATACCCTAAAACCTATCAGGTTACATGCCTGGAAGAAGAGACCATAAGCAGCTGGGAATATTAGGAGATGTGTTGTTATGAAAAGCCTGGTTTTTATTTCTATAGTCTTTTCTGCTAAGAAGCTTCACACCATTTTGGTATGGGCTTACCTCTGTAATTCTTCCATTTTGCTTCTATTGGCAGGCAAGGTTCACTGCTGAAGTGATATTAAGCTTGTGTCTCCTCCCTCTCCGAAAGCCACATATACGTCTACTCTTCACTATGAGGAGCGAGACTGAGTTTACAGTTAAAAAATTGGTCTTCTTCAAAGTACATTTCACTGGTGCTGCTAAATTCATAAATGTGTTTTAGTCCCGGTGCTAACAATCATATAAGAATCTGAAATTACCATAAAACCAAAACAAATTGATAGCTCTCATTTTCCAGCATTGAGATTCCAGCAAAGAGCTTGTCTTCTGTAGAAAATAAAATTTATACCGCACAATAACAATGACTAAAACGAACAACTACATCTGTAGTAAGACCTAATTATTAAGAACATTTTTTCTGATTAACCTTCTTGACAATCAATGGAATTCTAACTTACCAATTTTGCCTCTGACTGCACTGGCTGTGGGGAGGAGGGCCCTGGGATTCCTGGGATACTAGGCACCATGGTGACAGGTCTAACAAGCTGACCAGGAAAGTCATAAAAATGAAAAACAATCTTTGAGTATGCCAACATAATACATATTATATGACTGCATTGCCCACTAGAACCAAAACAGCTACCAAAATCTGTAAATCTAAGTTCTAAGGCTTAAGATATATCAGTAGCTTTTTACCCTTCCAGAGTAATTAAAGTATTTCTAACCATTTAAGTAATATTTGGAATGATAAAGATATACTACTCTCACAAGTATTCAGAGCACAAATTACAATAGTTGCCAAAAATATGTAAATCAAGTCCAAAAATCTTTTTTTTTTAAATGTTAGTGTTTGAAATTAAAAAAAGAAAAGCAGCATTTATGCAAGTCTGCATTATTTTAAAATTAAGAATGTATAATAGGTCATGTGTAAACTTACTGGAACTGCAGCAGGGACATGAACATTAGAATTTGTGATTGAGGCAGGAATAGCAACAGGCATAGTTTGTCCATTAGGAAGATGTAACAGCAGAGGAAAAGGACCTGGTACTGGTCTAAGAAAAACAAAGAGGAGGAAATATTTTAAAAAGGACACAAATACACAACAGAATTGAAAGATATTGACATTTCTTATTACAAAGCTTGATACATTATTAATTTGGTTTAACCCTGTCCAAACTTAACACAGCTTAAACTATTTGCCATTTTAACAAGGTATCAATAATATCCACGTTCTGTACATTTAACAGTAATTCTGTTTGACATAACTGTGTCAGAGTTATAATGTAAACTCACTGTACTGTTGGAGAATATGGAGCTGGAGGCCGCATTATTTATTAAATTGCGGAAAAAGTGATCAAAAGTACCTTGTAAACTAGACAAAATCTTTTTAGAAATCTGTAAAAAAATATTTTACTATCACATATAACTTACACTATTGGCCTGTTGGAGGATGGAGCCTGGGTAATGACAGTGCTAGAAGTTGGTGAAGGTATTGCCTGCTGAATAATAACACTTGAGTCAGAACTTGTTAGCAATACATTAGGAACCTGCAGTGATGCTGGACGAACTATTGTTGATGTAGGCTGTGCGGTCTGCTGAAGTGACACTTCCTATGGGAAAAATGAAAATTAACCATTGAAATTACAGACCATCAATAAAGCTTGTGCAGTGAACATAGATTACAGAGAAAAATCAGCAATCTTTGTAACATTTACAAAACTTACAGACTGCTGGAGTGAAATGAATTCTGCTGTTTTAAAAAACTGAGTAAGTTCAGCAAAAATATAGGCTCAATAATTAAGGCTGTGAAAAACAAAATCAAGAAAAGCATCTGTTCATCACAACTTTAGGACAAATTCAAGACCAGTTTGCTGAGGTATGAGACATATTGCTCCAATATGCTGTCAGGGTTTATATTAATAAGTCCAATAGATACAGGGGAAAGGAACTAACAATCAATATTATGCTACCAGTTGCATCAGTTCTTGGTAAACAGACCTTTTCAGTATGCCCTGACATAAGGCAAAGAGAAAAATAAAGTGAATATTTATTTTAGGTTTATATAACAGCTGAAACAAAAGGGCCACTGGAATCAGCAAGAACCAAAAAAAAAAACTATGTACATTTGTTACTCCTTTTAAAAACTAATTTCTCTTATTTAACTAGGAATCTATCTAGTGAAAAATACTCACAGGATTCTACAGTTCTTTCACAGTCTTTCAAGATGCTTAGAAATACCCTCACCTACATCTTGACTGAATCTTAAAGAATGATTTGAGCACAGAAGATAGATCACTGTGCTTGTAAACCAGGCAAGTAACAGAACTGACTGAGGATGTGATTGTCATAATCCTGAGACTGGCAATCAATTAGGATTCAATGAAAATATTAAACAAGCATTTAGCACATCTACACATACCTTCCATCTGAAGACCCCAAAGCACTTCACAGAAGGTAATGAATCAAGGAATTCCCTTTAACAACATGGGATCCTGTATACTGTGCTATAAACTTTACCTACTGTACATGGCAACTACCCCCCAACAAATTAATGAGACAGCACTGCATTATGCAGCAAACTGGAAATTATATGGTAATGTTTGTTATTACTAAATTCAATAACCATTAATTGTACTGAAATAGAATATAAATACTCCATAAAATGAAAACACATAATAAATGCATTCTCTGGACAGGGAGCTGAGCAGTTATCCAAACCAGGATAGGCTAAGATGAGAACCAATTAGTGGCAACTCAAATCAAGATCAGATAAAAGTGATATTTGTAGGTTGGAGGAAGAGATTATTATCTCCACCGATCGAGGAAGCATACCCACTGTTTGTTCTTTATTAGATCCTCTATTGCTCTTGGAGGTACGTACAGGTAGCAGCAGCAGAGCACTTTATCTGGACTTGGTTTTTATCTTTCCTTTGGATGCAGGCCTTTCCAATTACCTATGCCTTTGTTAGATTTGATTGCTGCTGTACTCAGGACAACATTTTAAAACTATGAAAAAAAACCCTTCAGTTAGTACAGATTTCAGCGCCCCACTTATTAAATGGTATTTCACTTAGCGAACATATTACACCTGTGCCCTATAGGCTGCACTGGCTTCCATTTGATTTCTGAATGAAGCTTATGTTGTAGATTTGGACTGATAATGCCCTGAATAGTTAGGGACCTAGCTGCCCTAAAGACTGCTTCTCTTTCCATGGTGCCTTTTGAATTCAGAAGTGGTCAAACTGGAAGCATTTCTAGTTTAAATAGGAATGGATTGGCAGCATGGCTTTTTCAATAAAGAGACCTTCAGCTTTGAAGCTTGCTCCTCACCAAACAGCCAAACACAACCTGCATTTGTTGCATGGCTCCATCAGTCCTCCTAGATTTTGAACAAGGGCGTGAAGCATTTCATTGTGGGAAACCAGAGGAGGACTGCAGCGGAAGAAATCTGCCGTGTAGATCTCCTAAAGGGTAACCTTGCTCAGGTTAAGTTTAGGAGCTGTGCAGAAGGAGAATGTGGTTGCCTTAAAGAGCTCATAAGTACTGCAAGAGTAGAGCTGTGATCCTGAGCAGCTGACAAGCACCAGATGGCAGCAAATTCCTCCTGTAAGTCTTCTTTGATAATAAGATAATGCAACTGCTTCAGCTGCTTTGCCCATTCAGCTGCAAGAAAAGGTCTGGTGGCTCAGGTCACACTCTCATCCTTGATGCACTGAATCATGAAAGATATCCCTTCTCCCTGCCTCCCACTCTGTCCTTTTAATACCAGAAGTATAATAGCCAGTAAAGAAACACATTTGTTTCCCCTTTGGGAAAGGAGGGGACTGAAAAGCAAGCAGAACCTAAGAAGGCAGACAAAATGTTAGGCTGATAGCAGGAAAATGGACATTTTGTGAATTTATATGGTAACCTGGCAAAAAACAAACAAACAAAAGTAAACTATGGGGTCATTTGTACAGCCACAATCACATTATCTAGCCAGGATTAGGGTTGTGGTGCTGGGACGGTGCTGGTGGTCAGTGCCCCCTCATTTGTCAAGGCATTTATCAACAAAAATCACAGAGCAGTCCCTAAACCTGTGACTTTTACTAAATTTACCAATATCACGCCATGATTTTTTGATAAAAAGCTGTGACAAATCTGCAGCCCGATTTATGATGTATAAAGGTACCCTTTTTAAAAAATGTTGTTTTTCTTATAAACAGAACAGGAAACTCATGGACTAAATGAAGAAAAGTGAGTGAAGTGATCTGCGATAAGAGAATGCCTATTCAACTGAAAAGCAAGATCTACAAGATGGTAACTGGGCCAGCACTTTTGTATGGTTCTGAGTGCTGGACACCGAGGAAGAGCCAGGAGCAGTTCTTGAATACAGTGGAAATTACTGTTAAGATGGATGCTTGGAGTTATAAGGATGGACCATGTTTGGAATGTACAATTTGAGGAAGTGTGAAGGTGGTACCAATTATAGGAAAGCTGAGGGAATCCAGACTTAGATAGTTTATTTTCATATGCCCAACATTGGAGGAATATATAGGAAACAGGATATTAAACCGAAAAGTGGAAGATAAGAGATGGGCTTGAAGATCTGAAACTAGACGGATGGATGTTATACTAAAGGATATAATTAGTTGTGGCGTTTCCGAGGAACTGCTTCAAGACAGGCTGGAATAGAGAAGGATTCAAAGAGCCGAACCCATGTAAATGAGACTAAGACAAGAAGAAGAAATACCAGGAAAAATCTGCTCTCTCCTAAATTTGTTGGAGGACAAGTGGGAAGAATAAGGGATGCTTATTTTAAGCAAAATTTAACTGAAGGGTTGAAGGCTTTGAATCTTTTACAATATGACTACCATCACTGTACAATAAACAATTAGGTCACCAAAGTAGTTCCAGTAAATATATACAAAACTAAATACATTGCTGTGAATGTTCTTTATAAAAATGTTTTGAATCCAGAAAAATAAGTTCCTGACCTTTTCATCACTGGTAGTGGACTCTGGATGAGGTAAAGGACTATCCTGATGAGTTGTCTCCACAACTGAAGGCTCTTCAGTTTTATTTCTTATGATTGGTGTTGCAAGAGGAGACAGATCTAGAGGCATCTAGAAGAGTAAACATACAAATAAACCTGTTAGTCACTCAAATTAAAATATGTAAAAACAAAATAAGCTGCTGGGGAAGGTATCAATCCTATGGAGTAGCGGCTCTGTTCTCAAGGAGCACAGGCCATCTAAAGCAGAGCCAGCTCATTAAGCTACCCCATCATTCCCACTTCTACATGACCTTCAGTCCCTTGGGCAGATGTCTGGTTCCTCTCCTTTCAAGTCCTCAGGCCAGCCAAAGTACAGGCCAATCCCTGTAAGTTCTGTAGGAGAAAAGTGTTCCTTTCCTGAAAACCTTAGGAAGTTAACAGCTGGGAATGGACCCTACGGTATTCGGCTTCACAAGATAGCCATATTCTCCAGAAAGCCACTCCCCCTGTCCCTGCCTTGTATTATCTTCAGTCCCTTGGGCTTCTGCATGGCCTGCTCTCTTCTAGTACTCTGAATGCTACAGCTGGCCATACTGACTCTAACAACTTGAGAATGAGGACAATTATGTGACCATTTATCTGACCATGTAGGTCACACTGTATTGGGCTCCTTGTCTGTAACTGATTACATTTTCAATTCAATCATAAGCAGCTTGTAATGAAGAACTCTCAAAATCACAAATACCACTTTACCACATAACATGCTAAAATTTTAAATTACATTGCTAAGAATAAAGTTCAAAGTTTGAAAACACTTTAAATCTCAAAATATATGCAAGTCTAAGTTGGAAATATCAACCTCAGGCAAAACTTTTTTAAAAAAACGTAAAAAAACACACAAGACTCATTTTTCTTTCCCAGTAATTTTCTGTTTTCTTTAGCGTGACTGCAGATTTGTTCTGAATAACTGCTCTCCATTACAACCTAACTTCTACTTTATTTTGAACTCACATCATGAAGTCACAATGCGATGCTTATTAAATCTTATAGTTATCAAGCAAATGATTACAATCACAAGTATGGCATCAAAACCTTATGTAAGTTCCGAAAGCTAAGGGAAAAAAATGTTATCAAACAAAGATATTGAATAATTATTGAAAAAGACAATTGTTTAAAAAGAGAATGGGAAAAATATATTTAATTGCTTAAATGGCTTCACATTGTTAAAATCTGACAGAAAAACTTTTAAGGGCATGAGGACTACATCTGGAATCCCTTTAAAAATATATATTTTAACCAGTATCACTGATACTGGTTAAAGAAAGAGAAAGTCCAGAGTATTTAGTCAGTGACTCACATATTGCAAACTAGCCCATCTGCCAAAATACCTTAGAGCAAAATAATTCTCTCCAGAAAGATTTTTACCTTTCATTATACTCTTCTATCTGGTTCTTTTAAGAGACAACCAAACTTTATTAAAGAGAGAGAAATTGTTTAGGAGTGCCCCTTCTCCCTATACTCTTCCAGAACATGGAAGTTAAAAGCCAGAAACTAAAACCTCTGAAAACCAGAAAATGCAGTTAGATAACTCCTCCCACACGATACTCCCTATTAACCCCATTCTCCTTTGATCACTGCTCATGCTCAAATAAATTGGTTAGTCTCTAAGGTGCCACAAGTACTCCTTTTCTTTTTGCCCTTAGGAGTCACTCAGGGAGATCACAGTACAATATCCCTCCCTAAGACATGAAGGTCAGCTGGGAGGATGAAGAGCAGTGTTGAAGAAACTGCAAAGAAGTTTAAAAAATTCTTTGATCCCTGTAGCCTCCTGAGATGGCAGCGAGCACTCTGGAAACCTCCTGCAAGTACTCACAGGCTCAACAGTGCTACATATAATGGTGTGAGACAGTGGGAACATATTAGTGAGAGTCATAATTTGGAGCTGTGTTGGGCACACAGAAAATGGCAGGTGACAGATTTTGTTAGGGATCGTAAGGTACTATTATATTCCCAGTGCCTCTGCTACCTCCACACAGAGGCAAAGAAAACCAAAGATGTGATCCTGCATACCTTTGTACATGTGAATAACTATATTTATATGAGTAAACTTTTTCACATTGGTACGTGTTTGCAGGTTTGGGCCCTAAGCATTTATAAATGGGAAGGAATTAAAATGAAAGACATCACATCTAAATGTATTTAAATAAAGTTAATTAGGAAAGGATTCAATTCAAGTTTACACAAAAATTCAAATTTGTACAATAAGAACAGGTGTGGTGGTTTTGGTTGTTATCAACATTTGTCTTTCAAATGGGATCTGTCTGTCAAAGGGATTTAAACGTCACTTTTACTGAAGTAGTAAAATCGGTTCTCAAACCATACTTCACTTTTAGTCACTGAATTTGATTACCACTGTTTAACTCATTACTAATATTCAGTTGTTAAAATAATGTGTACTTTGTTAAAGTGTTGTCTAATCTGTATACCTGCAAAACAATTAAAGTATTAGAGTTATTCCTTCCACCTGATTTTATGTATATATTTTTTCCTCTTGTAAGAACTGGATTCTTTTCAGAACCATTTACTCATCTAGGGCCTCATCAAAAGCCTATTGGAGTCAATGGAAAGGTGCCCATTCACTTTAATAAACTGTGGATCGGGCCTTTAAATAATTAAAAGACAGCAGTAAAGCCAATTAAAGTCACATTGTGTAAAATGAAGCAGGTGTGTTAGTCTTTGCAGGATTGGGCCTAAATTTGTATTCTCACCACACAACTTATATGTACACTTCTGTGTTGATGACTGATGCATTTCAAAGTTGAAAAACAAAATAATGAGAACATTAATTTTTTTAAAGCGTACATTCCAGTATGACATGGTTCCTCTGCTTTATCAGAGCAAACAAATCTCTCAGTACACTATATACTTCCAGACCAAAAAAAAGAAAATGTATACAGTAACTTCTAAGCCCAATATTGCCAACATACTTTTTTAATGTCATCTTCTGAAGCCTTTTTGAATTCATTTTCAAAAGGACTTGCTAGTTCATTGAATAAACCCACTTCTTCACAGTTCTTCAAGAATCTAGTTGGTGTTGGTGTCTGATCTGAAATGAAATTAAACATTTTTTTCCCCAAAATACCATTTAGTAAGTACATGTTATTACTATTTTCAAAATAAAAATATGAAAATACCACCAATGCCCAAGTTTTAATTACTGTGGTTATTTATCCTAAAGTTAACACTAAAGCAAACAACCACCTAGCTAAAATAAGGACTCTTCTTTAACATTATTTAAAAACAAATTTAAGATCCAACTTTTCCCTTTAATTATAGAGACTTGCAGCCCATTCTACCTAAAACCACTATTGCTAAGGTTACCAACTCATTTATTTTAAATAATTTTTCAATTAAAGCGGGCATATAACTCTTCAAAACTTTCTGGCAATTTAATTCAAAACACATTTGATATTTTTACTGTGTGTGTGTAAAAATAATATTTTGGCCAGTTTGGAATATTTCTGTGCTAGTTTTTCTTAAAATTGCTTATTAAACAACTTAGCTGTCAGTTATTTCATAAAGTGGGTTTTGCTTCCACCTGTTTTGGAGAGAGTCGTTAGATCTGAAAAATATTTAAATGATTAAAAATAGACACATCAGATACATGGGCCAATTTTCTTAGATTTTTAATGTTATTTTTAATAATACACTCTATAAATAAACATTATGATATGGATGAAGGCTCGTTCCCACTTTGACGGGGGCACACTTTGCTATGCCCTGGTACAAATTAATAGGTGTAAAACCCAACAATACACACAAATGGGTGAGCAGAGATTGCTAAAAGAGGGAAGCCTTTCATTAGACTTGCTCTTCTGTTGAGTGGAGTTCCCTCTTACCTCATCACTTTCCACTTTCATATACACACTAAGTAGCAGGCTACAATGTAGGCTTGAATGGTTACATACATAAAGAAAAATCAGATAAAAATATTGAATTTACATTAATAACTGTTAACTTTTGGAAGGTGGCATTCACTTGTAGTTTTGGTAATTAGGAAGATTCTCTCATTCAAAACCCCAGGGATAAGACTGGAAAGGGAGATATGGTATGTGGCCAAGAAGTTTCCTAGGCCTCCAAGGCACACTTCTTTTTCTCTTTCATTCAGGCCAGCCAGAAGTAGAACTGTTGCTCCACCTGCTGGAGACACACAACTGAGCTTTGTAGACCAGTAAGTCCCTCATGGTACAGATACAGGGGAAGATGTAATGAAAAGTCTGAGTTCTGTCTCCATTTGTTGGCTGAAGGAACAACTCTTAAGTGCCTGGATTAGCAGAGAGGATCCTGATGGAATCATGGACCTGTTTTGTATTTCTTCTTTTATTGTGAACAACAATAGGGACTACTGCTTTTGTTATTCATATGCTGTGTCATCTGTAAGTTGCATGCAAAGTGTGGTGAAAATAGTATCCCAAAATGTTTTGATTTAAAAGATGTTTGCATAATAAAACTAGAATCACAGCACTTCCATTGACTATTGTGTGAATGACTTCTGTATTCATTTTAAATTTATATTTTGGATAATATGGAAACTCCCATTTATTTCACTTAGAATTTATGCACTGTCAGGGGAAAGTAAGCTGTTTTACTGTACAGTATGTATTATAAATATAGGAGATAACATTACACAAGGTTCCACTAATTTCAAGGGGAGTTCGTGGATGACAGTCGGTGAAGATCATGGAAGTACTGTAGCGCACTTGGGAAGGCAGATAAAGAACTCTCTCATTGTTTCACTGACACTCACCTGATTGCCGGATAGATGTCCCCCACAAACTGCACACACTGCAGATAGCATTTATGGTATTTAAAAGTCTGCCAGTTTTTTTTAATTGTAGAATTCCATTTGTCTGCCTCTCCTAATAAATTAGCAACTTGGGATAACAGAAGGTTGGAAAGAGGGGCTAGTGCATTTGTACAATTAAATTAGACTGCTCCACCAATGGAAAATGTTTTGACTATATCCATAGTGTAGTATATGCTCTATCCCCAAGAAGTTCAAGAGGAGCTTACTTAGCAAAATTTACAGTTTAATGGTTCATTCATGTTTGGTCTGTGTCTATAAGAGCCATAGACTTAACAAATTTAGAGAGGAACTTTTTAAAGAAATAAAACAATAATAAGAAAATAAGATTCTGACTGACCAAGAAAGGCAAAGGGATTCAGAGGTGAAATATTGATTTCAGATATTGTAAATAAGTAGTTTTGACTTAGACAAAATTAAAAGGCTTGTCTTCTTTATAACAAACTATTTATTTTAAAATATTTACAATACTATTGATTGATTTTCTTGAGACAACTGAAGTCTGTAAAATGTGTAGTATTTTTAGAAAAAAACTATTTCAACATACATGTAAACTATAAGGGCAACCAAGACCTTGGGGAAGTGTTTAAGTGTCAGATGAGGTTAGACATAAAAGGTTATACAGTATGTGTTTTAACTTATGTAAGCATTCATATAAGAACCAACTATTGCAATATTGACAATCCTGTATTTATTCTATATATATATCACGCGAAGAGAGGTGATTTAGATAGAAATGTATAGAAATGGATAATGAATACATGTTGCAAATCTTTACCATACAGGAATTCTTTGGCATTTTCTTTCACCAGTCTACAGAAGTTATATCATGTACAAAACCCCACAAAATTTGTGCACATTCCAGGAGAAAGATGGATAATTTATTAATAAAAGTATATACTAACCAGCCACAATGACACTGTCATTACGAGCTGGACCAAATTTCAGTGTCATCTCATGTTTATGTTTATGGACAGCCAAATGATCCTCGTTGGTAAAACGCTGTAGCAAAAAGTTTTAAAGTACAGTTAAAACTTTGAATTTGACCAAAGTGAACGTAATTATATGGAAAGTCATTTTCACAGCATGTAAAACCATCATTATCACCAAAATATCAGTTGATTTTTTTTAAACATACACATCTGTTCTTGTTAATGCTGGATATAATATTCTCCCATCAAGTGGTCAGAAAGAGTTAACTAAAATATATATATATATATACACACAATACTGATAATGAATGTCCACAGTAATTAAGTAACAACACTATGAGTCAGTAAAAATCAACATAAAACAAATTTTTACTTTCTGATACTGTGAAGAACCCTACAGTCATCAAAAAGTCAAGATACACGTTTGACACAAAGGGAGTATTATAAACATTTATTGTCTTTGAGCACAGTAACCTCTGTGGTTTTTGCAATTACAGAAGAGTGGGTTCGCTGCCATAGCTAAAGTTGAACATGGTTAAGGTTGAACATGGCTTTTTGTTTAAGGGTTGACCACTGTGAATACTCTAAAATCCACATGCCTATTTGGATTGTCTTTGCTGTGCCGCATGGATCTGTAGAGTAGGGTTAATTATCCATAAAAGGGTCATTTAAGCAAGGGGGGGGGTCCCCAAAGATACAATCCCTCAGCTTTTTATAATCTTTTTTTTTTTTTTTTTTTTTTTGCACACACCTGGAACTCAGATTATGGCTCCAACAGTCCCCAAACTGATCTCATTCACTCAACATTTAATTTAGCTAGCATATGGCACCCAGTCAATACAATACTGAAAAAGTTATTGACAGAGTTTAGATCTCCAGAATGGTTTTTGCCAAAACTGATGAGCCAAAGAGATGGAAATGCACATGTCCAGCAAGGGTGCCAGGCAGGCTGTTGTCACAATAACTAGAAGGCTTCAGGGCCTCATCTGGAGTACTGTGTCCAGTTTTGGGCCCCACACTTCAAGAAGGATGTGGATAAACTGGAGAGAGTCCAGCGAAGGGCAACAAAAATGATTAGGGGTCTGGAACACATGACTTATGAGGAGAGGCTGAGGGAGCTGGGATTGTTTAGCCTGCAGAAGAGAAGAATGAGGGGGGATTTGATAGCTACTTTCAACTACCTGAAAGGGGGTTCCAAAGAGGATGGCTCTAGACTGTTCTCAATGGTAGCAGATGACAGAACGAGGAGTGATGGTCTCAAGTTGCAGTGGGGGAGGTTTAGATTGGATATTAGGAAAAACTTTTTCACTAAGAGGGTGGTGAAACACTGGAATGCGTTACCTAGGGAGGTGGTAGAATCTCCTTCCTTAGAGGTTTTTAAGGTCAGGCTTGACAAAGCCCTGGCTGGGATGATTTAACTGGGAATTGGTCCTGCTTCGAGCAGGGGGTTGGACTAGATGACCTTCTGGGGTCCCTTCCAACCCTGATATTCTATGATTCTATGAAACATGATGTGTTCATTGTACTCATCTATTCTGAGTTCTACCCCTGCCTTTGGCAGCTTTCAGAGAATGTGCATTGTGCACATCCTTGCTCTTTGCCCGTATATGCAGGGCTGCTTTTGGAAGTTTTACCAAGACCAATGTTTCTGGTTTAAGAACAATATTTTAAATTGCTCTAAAATCCACATGCAGATTCTGATTTTACTTTAGAAATATTGTCCAGGAAATGACCATTAATTAAATAGAGAGAAGATGAAAGACCACTAGACAGAATAACTAAATCACAAGTCAGTCTTTGTTTCCTGACCAATGGAACTGAGTGTGATCAAAAGGATAGCAAGTCAATGTGTCATTGGTCAAGGGGTATCTACTACACAACTCACTCTCAGGAGCTTTTCACAATTTTTTCAAATTCTTATTACTTTGCTGGGACACCGCTGAGGAATGTGTGTACAGGGGAGGTGTCAGAGCAGTGAAGGAGAATGGGGGGGAAGGGCTGGAGCAGGACAGGAATTGTGAGGTTGGGAGGTGGGCTTTTCCCTTTAGGGCTGTATTCTGGCACAGCTACTGAGGGACCCAAACATACCAAGGATAATTCAAATGCTGGTTTGCCCCACATTCTCCCCTCCCCTAGCCCTGCCCGGGCCAGGTAGTGGCAGTAGAAGGAGGGTGGAGGGGGGTGGAGAGGGAGATTCCTCTCATTCACAGCCCCACAGCTGGGGGCTAGGTAAACTCAAGGAACCAGGGGGCTCCTGCCTCTCAGAGGGGGTCTTAGCCCCTGTCCCTCCCACTCTGCATGTAAGCCAGGACCTGGGGGGTTCCAGCCCTTCATGGGGAAGTCTAAGTCCTTGCCTCACCACGTAAGAGCCAAGATCTGGATCCTCTGCTGACGATGGATGTCTAGAGCCTCTTCCCCATGCACTATGGCCAGATTTGGGGTAGATACTTTTTCTCCACCCACCTGCCTCCTCCTGGTTTCAGCTGATGGAATCCTCATAGCCCCACCACCTTCCCACCTGCCTATAGCCCCTCCAAGATCACCAGGGGCACGGAGTGCCAAGGAGAAGGGTGGAGCTGGTAAATGTGTGGAAAGGGCTCAAAGCAGCAGGCATATGGAGGGAATGTTGGAGGAGATAGAGCAGTGTCAGAGCAGTAACAGAAGAGTCTGAGCAGCTTGGAGGAATATGGGGCTTGGAGCAGTAAGGGGGGGGTTGGAATAGTGCAGGAAAGAGTGGAGTGAAAGGGGGGTCAGAGATGTGCAGCAGGTGATACTGTAGTGGCTTCAGCTCTGCCCCCACCAAAACCCCACATCCATCAATATTAACATAAATTATACGTACTTACATGGCTCCTATCACTGTAGTATCCGAGTGCCTCAATCTTTAACTACAGTAACTCCTCACTTAAAGTCGTCCCGGTTAACATTGTTTTGTTATGTTGCTGATCAATTAGGGAACATGCTCATTTAAAGTTGTGCAATGCTCCCTTATAAGGTTGTTTGGCAGCCGCCTGCTTTGTCCACTGCTTGCAGGAAGAGCAGCCCAGTGGAGCTAGCTGGTGGGGGCTTGGAACCAGGGTGGACCGGCAGCCCCCCTATCAGCTCCCCACTCCCCTAAGTTCCCTGTGCAGCAGCCGCCCAGCAGGCTATCAATTGCTAGCAGTTCAGCTGTCCCTCCCCGCACTGCCATGTGCTGCTCCTGCCCTCTGCCTTGGAGCTGCTCTCCAGAGCCTCCTGCTTGCTGGGGGGTGGGAGCAGGGGTAGGAGAGGGGGGCTCCCTGCTCCTGCACCCCGCTTACCCCATCTCCAATGATCAGGGGGGACACATGACAGGGTTCAGAACTTAGGGAGCTTCCTGGCAGCAGCTGCTGCGGTATCAGCTTGCTGATTAACTTGACAAGGTAGTGTACTTAAGAGTGGCGTCAGCCCACTTAAAGTGGAAATGCGCATCTCTCTCTCACAGACGGGTGTGGGTCTCTGTTTGCCATGCTGCCTCCCCTCCATTTGTGCTGCCTTGTAGAGCGTGAGCTACATTAACAACGAGTTAACCCTTGAGGGCTCAGCCACTTGTTAGTTCATCATTTAGCAGTAAGTCATTCCCTGGGAAATATCCCACCATCTGACTCCATCACCTCAACCAAGCTTCACAATCATCATCGCTGTGTACAGTATTAAATTGTTTGTTTAAAACTTATACTGTGTGTGTGGGGAGGGGGGGCGGCGGGGCGGGGTCTTTTGTCTGGCAAAAAAAAAAAATTTCCCTGGAACCTAACCCGCCCCATTTCCATTAATTCTTATGGGGAAATTGAATTCACTTAACATCGTTTCACTTAAAGTCGCATCTTTTAGGAACATAACTACAACGTTAAGTGAGGAGCTACTGTATTTACATTCACAATACCTCTGTGAAGTAAGGAAGTGTTATCATTCCCATTTTACAGATAGGGAACTGAGACTCAGAGACACAAAGTGACTGGTCAAAGGTCACACAGGAAGTTTATGGTGAAGCGGGGAATTGAAACTGGGTCTCTCAAATCCCCAGTCCTAACCACTGGATCATCCTTCCTCTGATGACCTCACTCCTCCCTTCAAAAAATGCTCCCCTCTCCCAACTCTACGTTAGTCCTTGCACCGTTGCTGCATCCTTTCCCCAGTTTCTCAAACTGCATGTTCCATGCTAATGCCTGCTTCTCTGTGGACAGGAGGGCTCAGGAGAGAGAACCAAGCTGTGCCAGGCAGGCAGAGAGATGAGGAGATGATGTAAGGGCACTGAAGACACTAATGTGCGGCCAGTGTATTCTGCGGCTGGGATAATCCCTGCCAAGGAGATAGAGGCAATGGAGGTGGAGACCTGGGCTGTGGTACACGAGCACACGGAGGAATTATTGTGCTTTTTTTTTAAATTCAAAAGGAAGTTAAATTCACCGAAACTTCATTAAAGCAGAGTTAATGTTTCCCAGTCACACTTTGTGCCCTTCCAGAATGTGGAAAATGGCTCAACTTAAACCTCTGAAAACACAAAGTTAAGGTACATGCCACCCCTGCAATGCAATCTTAACACTGCTCTTTTAGAGCGATTCCAATTACATACATTCACAGCATAGATGCTTCAGAACACTTGGGAACAGAGCATACAAGCACAGTAGGATAAAGTCTAGTACCTTCTCTTTTCCAAGGCAAACCTTGGGTTTACATCAGGTGTAGGAAACTACCTACCTACCCTTGTCTACACTCAAACACTGAGTTTACTCCACACAAACCACCCCAGATTTGCAAAAAATGTTACCACACTTTCAACCTTGTCCTGAGGATTTGCTCTGAGACATTACCTTCACTTATCCCTCAGAAAGCCCTGGACACCACTGTCATGTATGCCATTACACTGCTGATAATCTTCATAACAAGGTAACTGGCACAACTCTACTGACAATCTATAAAACTCAGTGCTGAAGTGAAGCATACTTGATCCCTCAAGGTATACCTGCACCTCTCTTTATATCACAGGCACAGCTCTACCAAGTTGTTCCAATTAATCCCTCCACCATTCAAAACAAGTACACCTAACACAGTGAATATAGCAGATAAGTCCGTGCAGATAAGTTCCACATATTTGACTTCTGGCATTTAACACAAATAATGGGACATGCTTAGTCCTTTCTCAGATCTACATAGTATAGATTCAGAGATTTTTAAGGCCAGAAAGGGCCATTAGAACAGAGATTCTGACTTCCAGTATGACACAGGCCAGAGAATTTCATCCAGTTACTGCTGCACTGATCCTAATGCCTTGCGTTTGACTAAACCATCTTCCAGAAAATAAACCAGTCTTAATTTTAAAAGATCAAAAGATGGACAATCCTCCACTTCCCTTGACAGTTTATTAACCTTTGCTCTACCCTACTGCCAGCTCTAGTGAAAGTACAGTAAAGGTTATATTGTTGGGATAGAATGTACCCTTAACCCTGCACTGTGGGTTTTCAGAAGTTTAAGTTTGCCACTCTCCACATTCTGAAAGGGCACAAGACAAGTGAAGGCAAACAACTCTGGGCTAATGAAGTTTTGAGCATTTTGTTTATTTTTCTCAGTTAATATGGATTTTTTAAATCACTGAATTTTTAAAAAATTAAATTCTTGAAGAGATGCTATCAACTTAAGTGCTAGTCAGTTTTTTTTTTTTTAAATTAGCTAACAGTACTTTCAGGTATTATTGTCTACCTGCCCCTGACCCCAACTCTACATATTACTTTTTTTAAAAATGTAAAATATCCTAACAAACCAAAGTGGAAACTGATCAACTTTACAGGGAAAATTGTTAAACAATGTAACTATTTTGTCAAATGCACAAAACATTTTCTTCAACTCCCTTTCAATTATATCAATCCTCAAGGATTCCTGTAACAGGTAAAATATTCAGAGAGAAATTTCATTTTTAAATTGATGATGTCCCTTAAATCTATTTTTATTTAAAACATGGTGAATATTTCAGTGCTCATGAAAATGAGGGACCTGTGGCACTGCTAGAGCAAGGCATAGTGCAGGTTGGTTTTCCCTTTATTGTACAGCAGCAACGAGCACATATTTTACCTGCTCACTGTGCATGCAAGAAGCTACAGCATTTACCACGACGACAAAAACCACAATTCTCAATGATCTCTACGACTGTATACTTCCATTTTTTATAAAATTCACATCACATGTGTTACTTCTGAAACCTGCCACACAATTGAGTTTTCTCAGTCTCTAACTCCATGGCATAGAGCCCAAAAAGCTAAGCAGAAATTACTTGAAAGAACAATGTTTCAGATTAGGATTACTCTTGATTTCTTTCAAATATAAGCATAACTTGAGCAGTCATTAGTACATAGTAAGAAACAAAGAAGACAAGCCTAAAGGAAAATGGCTGATTAACTTCAATATTATTTAACATTCTTTCAAAAATAAAAGTAAGCTGAACTCTTAAATGTAATACTCTAAAATTCCCTTTAAAAAAAAATCAAAGAACATTCACCTCCCTGAATCTCTCAATTATAAACATTACAATCAGAAGTTAAATACACAATTTGATGTTGAAATGATGATCAGTCTCACTTAAACTGACAAGAAATCAAATTCAGAGTCAACGTTACCGCTCAGTACTTAGACACTGCCACACAAATGGTACCGTACAAGACTAAGAACAAATCCTAGAGATGTACTAAAATAAATATTTTTGCTTCTATAAAGCAAGATTGTGCAAAAAACAAAAATCCCCACGCAAACCAAACCCCACTATCTGCAAGAATGCAATGACTTTTCCTTACAGAGTAAGCATAACTTGAGCAGTCATTAGTACATAGTAAGAAACAAAGAAGACAAGCCTAAAGGAAAATGGCTGATTAACTTCAATATTATTTAACACAGTGGAAAATTTCACTCATCTACATGTGGAAAACCCCTACAGCTATGGGCAGCTACATTTTCTGACCACAGATTACATACCTACATAATCATCATAAGAACAGGTAACAATTAAAAGGTCTTCAGTCTGCTCAGAAGGAGCTAACCACAGGCTGCCCAGATGTGATGTGAAATATTAACTTTAACTCTATTATGAGAGTTGTGTCCATCTAACTATCAAGCCCTAGTTGTTCCTTAAAGTTAGTGTGCGCTTCATTTCGTGGTATAGGCTACCACTCCAACTACAAACTGACCCAGGTTGGGAGATTCACACCCTGGCACCTCCCCTGAAGTCTACATATGTCTTCCTCACTACCCCTGCAGGAAGGACCACTTGCAAGTTCGCAGTGGATACTGACAAAATTGTGAGCAGATAAAATAAAAGTGAATATTTCATCACTGTTTGCATCAAGAAAACCTCAAGTATTACCTAAAACCATAGAAACTGGACCAGACCAGTACAGAAGGGAAGAAAAACAAGGTTAATAACCTAGAACAAAATATAGTACCCCTTTTCCAATCCTGTTGTGAGTTGAGAAGGCATTATATGAACATAAGAATGGCCATACTGGGTCAGACCAATGGTCCATTTAGCCCAGTATCCTGTCCTCTCACAGTAGACGGTGCCAGAAGCTTCAGAGGGGATGAACAGAACGGGGCAATTATCAAGTGGTTCATCTTCTGTCATCCATTCCCAGCTTCTGGCAGTCAGAGCCTTAGGGACATCCACAGCATGGGTTTGCATCCCTGACCATCTTGGCTAACAGTCGTTGATGAATCCATCCATCATGAACTTGTCTAATTCTCTTCTGAACCCAGTTATACTTTTGGCCTTCAGATCCGTAGGCAATGAGTTCCACAGGTTGACAGGGCATTGTGTGAAGATGACATACTTCTTTATGTTTGTTTTAAACCTGTTGCCTACTAATTTCATTTGGTGATCCCCAGTTCTTGTGTTATGTGAAGGGATAAATAACACTTCCTTATTCGCTTTCTCCATCATATCCCCTCTTAGTTGTCTCTTTGCTAAGCTGAACAGTCCCAGTCTTTTTAATCTTTCCTCATACGGAAGCTGTTCCATACTCCTGATCATTTTTGTGGCCCTTCTCTGCACTTTTTCCAATACTAATACAGCTTTTTTCAGATGGGGTGACCAGAACTACACACGTTATTCAAGGTGCGGGCGTACCATGGATTTATGATATTTGATAAATTTATGACATTATGATATTTTCTGTCTTATTATCTATCACTTTCCTAATGGTTACTAACATTGTTAGCTTTTTTGACTGCCACTGCACACTGAGCAGATGTTTTCAGAGATCTGTCCTCGGATAATTACAAGATCTCTTTCTTGAGTGGTAATAGCTAATTTTGAACTCATCATTATATATGTGTAGTTGGAATTATGTTTTACAATGTGCATTACTTTGCATTTATCAACAGTGAATTTCATTTTCTCTTTCCTGGCCCAATCACGCGGTTTTGAGAGATCCCTTTGTAAGTCCAAAGCAGGCTGCTTTGGACTTAAGCATCTTGAGTAATTTCTATATTGTCTCCACATTTTACAACCTCACTGTTCACCCCTTTTTCCCGATCATTTATGAGTTATACTGAACAGCACTGGTTCCAGCACTTAGCCTTGCGGGACCTCACTATTTACCTCTCTCTACTGTGAAAACTGACCATTTATTCTTACCTTTGTTTCCTATCTTTTAACCAGTTACTCATCCTTGAGAGGACCTTCCCTCTTGTCCCATGACTGCTTACTTTGCTAAAGAGCCTTTAGTGAGGGACCTTATCAAAGGCTTTCTGAAAGTCCAAGTACACTATATTGAGCAGATCACTGTTGTCCACATGTTTGGAGACACCTTCAAAGAATTCTAATAGGGTTACTGGGGTATGATTTCCCTTTTACAAAAGCTGTGTTGACCCTTCCCCAAAATATTGTGTTCATGTGTGTGTCTGATAATTCTGTTCTTTACTATAGTTTCAACCAGTTTGCCTGGTACTAAAGTTAGGCTGACAAGCCTGTAATTGTCAGGATTGCCTCTGGAGCCTTTTAAAAAAAAAAAGTTATGGTTCAGCTCAAAATGGGAGGGAAATTTGGAAATGCACAAGACCCAGAATAGGATTTCAGCTCCCTGTACAGCCTATTTGTAAGGGATTTTCTCTGAAGCTAGCCAATCAATGGGAAGGCTCTCTTCCTGAAGCATGGTTAGAACCAGTAGACTAGTACTGGATTATTATCGTGCACTGGGGAAAATTGAGATGTTTTCTGAAACTTAAAGTATGCCCCCAGGCTTCACTATACAAGCACCCTGCTATCATTTAACCTCCACAGATTTCATGAATACTGGAGCTATATTACACTTTGTATTGCACTTGTTTTTCTGCTAATTCCTTCTAGAGAGTTAAGAATGTGATTACACAAATTAATGCATTATTTGTTTCCATTTAGAAAATTACAAATGCAGAACTAAAACAAAGTGTTTTTTGTGACAGAGATATGACAATTGTGGGGTTTTTCTTTTGTTTTTATTTTTTAAAGACTCTATCCTTCTGTAGACAGTGTTTTTGAATTTTTTAAAAAATTCTTGCTATCACCTGCTTTACAAAATAATTACAGCATGCAGTTAACTTTCCAGCATCTGTCATTAAGAAATATTTCTACTCTTCAATCTAACATAAAATACATTTACCTGTGTTTGTCTACTTGACCAACATTAATAGATTCAAAGCATCCTATTACCTGGCCACATCCAGGGGCAGTGCATAAAAAGGGTTTGTCATCACTCATATTCCACAGGTCTTTGTATTACCTAGGTTGAAATAAGATTTAAAAAAAAAAAAATGATATCTCAAAATATTTAAAAGTAATTGCAACAAGTTACCAATATATCAACCTCCAAAGCCTAGGCTGGAAGAATTACTAAAGATTTTAGTATTCTACTAGCAAGAACCACGCTGCCTCTCTTCTGATTGCAGTGAGCTAAGTATTTGATAATACATGCAAACAAAATGCACACATACAAAATGGGAAATGACTGCTTAGGAAGGAATACTGTGGAAAGGGATCTTGGGGTCATAGTGGATCACAAACTAAACATGAGTCAACAGTGTAACACAGTTGCAAAAAAAAAAAAAAAAAAATGACCTTCATTCTGGGATGTATTAGCAGGAGGGGTGTAAGCAAGACACGAGAAGTAATTCTTCCATTCTACTCTGTGCTGATTAGGCCTCAGCTGGAGTATTTTGTCCAGTTCTGGGCACCACATTTCAAGAAAGATGTGGACAAATTGGAGAAAGTCCAGAGAAGAGCAACACAAATGATTAATGGTCTAGAAAACGACCTCTGAGGGAAGACTGAAAAAATTGGATTTGTTTAGTCTGGAGAAGAGAAGACTAGGAGAGGGACTAGGATAACAGCTTTTAAGCACACTGCACCGCCGGCGCAATGCTCTGGGCGGTGGGGCTGCGAGCTCCTGGGGCAGCGCAGCTGCAGAGCCCAGCCTGACCCGGTGCTCTGTGCTGCGCGGTGGTGTGGCTGGCTCCAGCTGGGTGGTGTGACTGTAGCACCGTCAGCCACCGGTGCTCCAGGCAGCGCGGTAAGGGGGTGGGGGGAGGATGGGGGTTTGGATAGAGGGCAGGGGAGTTCGGGGTGGTGGGGGTGTGAATGGGGTTGGGGCAGTCGGAGAGCGAGGAACAGGGGGGTTGAATGGGGGCAGGGGTCCCAGAGGGAAGTCAGGAAGGAGGGGGGAATTGAAATGGGCAGCAGGGGGCAGGGGTTCTGGGGGCGGCCAGGGAACGGGGCGGGGGGGGGGGGGAAGAGAAGCAGGCCACGCCCCCCTCTCCTAACTCGCCTGCCATACAATTTCCAAAACCCAATGCAGCCCTCAGGCCAAAAAGTTTGCCCACTCCTGGTCTAGATAATGCTCAGTGCTGTCATGAGTACAGGGGAGTGAACTAGAAACTAGATGACCTCTCGAGTTCCTCACAGTCCTATGATAATCTATGGAGTAATATTTCAACACATACTTTGAGGGTATGTTTTACAAGTCCTGTGAGATAGATACACAAATCCAAATAGGTACACATAGCAGATTTTGAGCATGCATCTCAGTTCGAAAGACAAATTATTAAAAAAACTGTATACCACATGTGTAACCTGTGAAGCATGTTCCACAAGATATCACTTAGGCAGTTTTTATAATTGGAATAAAAATATATTGCAAATGCCTGGTTTTTACAAATACAAAAAAAAAAAAAATAAAGCGTAGCAGATAACATCCAAAGAGACAAGTGCACAGCACCAATAAGCTAGGGAAAACAACTCATTCCCTGATTTTCTCATGATCTACCTTTAAAGCCAAGTCAGTGTATTAGCAATGTCTATGCACATCTCCACAGAAGAGACGTCTTTTTAAAAAATAATATTTATAAAAATATACATTTCAATACCACTTCAGAAATGCTATAACATTAATAAAATAAATAATAATAATATTTACCTAAAGACTTTATATATGTATAAGTCGTCAGCAGAAGACCAAAATGCTACTTTACTTAGCAATGCTCTAAACAGACAGAGACAGAGACACACATGTCTATACCTGGCAGATTTCACATGTAAGCCAAATTTCATAAGGTGAGCAGTTTAATCACATTCTCCTTTTCATGGCAATGAACTGTAATTAAAGAAAACAATTATTGTGCATGCTAAATAAACAAAATGCAGTTATTCCCTTGTAATGTGTCTGGACAAATTATAAAATACCATTCATTACCCTGGATCAGGTTCAGATTGCACTGTATTCTTCCTATTTATGCATATACAGTATTTGAGTTTCTCTCTCCATAAATACAGCCTTCCCTCTCAGAACTACTATTTTTCAATTTAATACACAGTTTCATGCAAGCATGAGTGACGCAGTTATACTGACCTAGCTCCCGGTGTAGACAGCACTATGCTGATGGGAGGGCTTCTCCCTTTGACATAGCTACCCCCTCTTGGGGAAATGGGAGTACCTACGCCAAAGGGAGATGCTCTCCTGTCAGCGTAGGTAGCTTCTTCACTAAGTGCTCTAGCTGCTACAGTTCTGTAAGTTTAGAAAAGCCCCCAGTTTCCTTAAGAGCCTTTGGTGAGGGACCTTGTCAAAGGCTTTCTGATATTCCAAGCACACACTATCCACAGAATCATCCTTATCCACATGCTTGTTGACTCCTGAAAAGAATTCTGATAGATTGGCAAAGCAGGACTTCCTTTTGCAAAAGCCGTAATAATTCTTCTCCAACAAATCACGTTTATCTATATCTGACAATTCTATTCTTTACTCTAGTTTCTAACAATTTACCTTGTACTAAAGTTAGGCTTACCAGCCTGTAATTGCTAGGATCTCCTCTAGAGCCCTTTTTAAAAACTGTTGTTACATTAGCTACCTTCCTCTGGTACAGAGGCTGATTTCAGTGACAGGCTACATACCACAGTTCGTAGTTCTGCAATTTCCTATTTAAATTCCTTCAGAATTCTTGAATGAATACCATCTGGTCCTGGTGACCTATTATTGTTTAATTTATCAATTTATTCTAAAATCTCTTCTACTGACACATCAATTTGGGACAGTACTTCTGATGTGGGTATCTTGTACATCCTCTGTAGTGAGGACCAATGCAAAGAATTAATTTAGCTTCTTTGCCATTGCCTGGTCTTACTTGAGTGCTCCTCTAACACAGGAGTTTCATTACTGTCTGTATTTACAAGAAGTCACTGTATAAAGAGAGAAACCACAATTCTTTAATTAATCTAAAATCTCAAAGAGGTGGGAAAAAATCCAGAACAAAAATACAGGAACACTACTGAGAAGAAAAACAAAAACAAAAGTCAGACTGTTTCTAACTAAATGTCTCTTATCTGGATCCCTGCAAGTATCAAGATACCAAAGAAGAGTAAGATCTACTTATAAAGATAAGTCTGAATTGGTTTATATGAGATACAGAGACAGGTTTTTTTTAAAAAAAAAAAAAACAACAAACCATGTAAAGAGAAGCCAGAAGAAAAGAAAGGGATGGTGAAAGAAAATGCAATTGTATTTCTTCAGACCAGCAGATCAATAACTAAATAAATATCCACAGACAGAGCCTCCTTCTCTAGGTAACCAAGAACAGGAATGGTACTGGATAGTATTTGTGGATACAACAGGTCAGTAGAGGGCCAGCCCATTTTAACATTCAGAGATAGAAGATAAGGAAATGAAGCAACCAAACTGCTTCATGAACTAAAAAATGACAAATACTCCCAGCCCATAAGTTTATTTAACCCCCATAAGAAATAGATTCAGAAGTTGAAGAAAAATACCATTGAAAAAAGTATCTTTAGAGAGCTCCAATGGACGGTGGTTTCAACTGCTGCTTTGCTAGATGAAGTAAGCAATGGCAGCTTTATTAACAGAATGTGCTATGCACTGATCAAATCTGCTTCTCCTCCAAACAGTTTGGACGTGAAAAGTCATGAGACTTTTGGAAATGCCTAAATTTTCACTGGATGCGAATTCTCTCTAGTACATCACTAACCTTTAGACATGAGACAGCTCAACTCTTCGTAGATAGATCCATTAAACTGGCCGTTGTCACTGATGTATGTCATTGATATCCACTGCTTACAGACTTGTTCCAAAAGGGTAGAGATCCCACTCCCCTTTACTAAATTTGTCTCACAACCACAGGATAGATCTTCTGGCTACTACACACACAATAAAGGAGAGCTCGTGACTCTAGCTATAAGCACTTAACTGAAAAAGCAGCAAAGATATAGTGCAAGAGGTTCCAAGGTATTGATTCTATTACACACACGTTCAACACTAAAGGACTTTGACTACCTCAGATCAGGAGCAAAGAGATTATTCCAAGAAGAAACACTTAAGAGTCTCTGACTTTGGCTGCCAAGGGAAAGGTTGACATATCAGAGTTTGAATGCCAAGACAAACCACGGACTGAAATTGTTCTGCTATTCCCTTCAAAGCGTTCATGACCTGTCCCAGGTTTCCAAAGGCATTCAGTATTTGTTGAACTGTTAAGCAGGCTGTTGATATGTACTATCATCATTTTTGTAAAGATTTAAAGGAACACAGGCAAGTGACATGGCACAAAAATGAATGTCTAAACTCCAAGTTACACTATAGATAGCATCGTTAAAAGAATATTGGAATATGCAGTCATCATGAATTTCAATGGATGATTCAAAGTCTTCCCAGAGAGACTATCATCCTAGTTCTGCTGTACTTCATTCCAATTTTTTTTTCTTGGTTCAGTTTCAAATCTAACATGGGCTAGTCTCAGTTAGGCCTTGAAATTAATTAACTAAACATTGCTGGATCTCTCTCCAAGGGGCACTGGTGGACAACTATATATTGGAGCTAGTTGAAGCAGCTCTGTAGCCTTTAGGATTTCCAAAGGCCTGAAGACAATCATGATGAAGAATGAGAAGGGGCACAACTACCTCTATGTATCCACCATGACAGTATACCTTGTTGTTAATCTTCAAAGTGGCAACTTAACTCCATACCAGAGGAAACAGTACAGTACCAGAGTGCCTCTAGCAGATCTAGCTTGTTGCAAATACAGTAGAACCTGAGAGTTACGGACACCTTGGGAATGGAGGTTGTCCGTAACTCTGAAATGTTCATAACTCTGAACAAAGCACAGTTTGGGCTCCAGATCCAGCAGCTGAGTTTGCAAGCTTGTCCCCATCCCTACGGGGCAGGGGAAATATGTGGTGTGCTGTGCTATGTGTCCCTCCCAGCCAGGGGATGGAGGGTAAAAACAGTACGTCCCCCTCCTGGTGGGGGAGGGGTGGAGGAGTGAAAGAGGTGCAGACCCCAGCACTGCTCCTGCTCGGCTGCCTTGGGCTGGCAGCCCCAGTGTCTTGCTGTAAGTGGCTGCCCCACGCGTGGGCACAGTATAGTATTTGCTTTTGGGGGAGGGGGGGGCAGGAGGGAGTGGTGGTGGTCTCTGCTGCTACCTGATTGGTTACTCCCAACTTCACTTGGTGTCCAGTCAGTCCGTAACCCTGGTGTCTGTATCTTTGAGGTTCTACTGTAAGCCTCTCGTCTATTTCAGGATTTGAAATGTCAAAAGCTTTGCTATCTGCCTATTCTCCCTTTTAGTACAGGATTAGGACAATATAAAATAGCACACAGAGTGATTATCTGATTTAAATCTATTGGGTTGAGAGGGAAATAATCCTTTATTTTTTATATTTAATTTCTGATCAAAAGTCAAGCCCTTTGAACAGAAATAAAAAACGATTCAGAAACATATTTTGAGTGAACTAGAACTGACCCTAGACAGAAAACCTCTGAATCATATTGACCCCAAATGGGAATCAAACCCAAGAAAACAAAAAACAGTTCAAAGCAGTAGGTTCAATCATCAGGAGGTAGGGAGGGTCTTTTCAGGATGCGCCAACCTTGCAGAGAGAGGAGCAGAGACTACACTTCCCAAGAAGCAAACAGAAATGAGAGGAGGAGGAGGGGGAGAAAAGTATTCTGGGATTGATAATTCTCTCTATTTTGCTCAGGTTGACGACTCCCCTTGGAAGAGAACTACCTCTCTCAGAACCCCTCCCTCCTCTCACCATCTCCTCCTGCTTGCTGGCGAGTGCTAGAGGCCAGTAACTCAGGCTTCAGACATGATAGGTGAGGCAGGAGGAGTGTGAAACACAGGACTTTTGATTAACTTCAGAATGTAAGGCTTGCTGTGCTTCCGGGCTGTTCCTGGCTTTGTTTCCCTGACCCTGAAGTTCCTTCCTGATGCCACTCTAACAGTCACTCTGCACAGGCTCAGTGATTGTGTTACGCTATGGGAGACTACTTGAAGGAGGGATGGAGGGACTCTGAAGGGCCTGAAAGGAGGAGGAAGGAAGGGAAGGGAGTTCTAGCTGAAGGGGGAGAGGTGCTGTATCAGTTCTTTTCTGACTAATAACAACCCCATTATCACCTCTCCTCTCTGGCTGGCTGGGCCTAAAACTTCTCCCCTCTGTCCACTGATTCAGGGAGGTTGGTTTGTTTTTTTCAGACAGAATTATTTCATATTGATTAATTTTAATGTTTGCAGTTCCCTGGTGGTGAATCTTTTATTGTTTAATAGGCCTGCTGCTTTCCTTTGCTGCTTTTTTTTTGTATCCCTGATTTCAAAATTAATTACTTAATTAATAACTTTATCTTTCTTTTTTAATCTTACAAGAATGTTGGAATGTTTTGAGTTGCATTAAGTCTTTGAGGTGATTGGCTTAAACACACAGAGCCAATTAAATACAGTACATTGCTCCGGCCATTCTGCTGGCCCAATTGCTAATCACTCGCAGCCCCAACAGAGGCTACTCTTACCTAGTCCCTCATGTATGTCCTTGATAACATGGGGTATGGGTATTATGTGACTTGTGATTCATCCTAACCCAAAAACCCGGCTCATAGTTTGAAAATGTGACACATTTCTGCAGAGAAAATTTTTTTAATGAAATTCCATTGAGAAAGTTCCTGAATAATACAATAATAAATATTCCTTTGCTACGAGTTACAATGCAAGCATAAGAGCGTATGACAATCTGCCGGAAATGTATCTGAACCAGTTCAAACAGGTTCAAAGTTTTCTAAGTTAGTGTCTGAACCAGAGTTAGGAAACATTGATAAACTCACACTGAACCAAAATTTAAATGGTTCGACTCTCTGCTTTGAAAGGAAAATAAATAAGTTTTATTGAAGTGAACTATTCACTGGACAAAGGTCAAAGCTAATCTGGCCTCTGTTAACATTATTTTATTGCAGGACACGGCATAAGGTAGTTTTATGAGCATGAGACATCATGCTGTAATGGGCTGCCAATTAACACCTGAAAAACTGTATTTTGACAAGTTTTGCAATCTTTAGGCTTAAATATAAGGATCTGACCGGCTATGGTCAGAAAGAACCCTCTGAAAACCTAGAAACTTGCTAGAGCTTGGCAGGTAAATTCTCCAAATATTCTATCTGTACCAAGCAAACTCCACCCCTACACAGCTCCTGTTTTCAACTGCGCTGAACATGCTCTAGCCCAGGGGGCTGAGTAGGCTGTTCCCTGCAATTGCTTCTCCCAGCTGCCAGGGGCCGGAACGGAAGAGACAGATTGTCCCTCTTGCAATCTCAATGGTCCCCTGCTGTTGTCCATGGAAAAGGAGAAAGCAACAAGACTCAAATGTAAGAGAGATAGAAATAGGAGTATGAGGTAAAGAAAACCACAAAAACCACATACCCATCCTGACCCTGGAATATAATGCAGAATTATTGAACCTCAACATTCCTTTGCTAGCCAGGAAAAATCTTTAAAACCCACAAAGTGTGTCTCCACCTCATCTAGTGGCTGCTCCACAAAGAGAATCACAGCATACTACGATTGCTACCAGTTACTCTGTTAACTATCATCGTAGTGGTCTCTGATGTGGAGGTAAAGTTTCCAAGCCTTCAGACCACCCATCTGGCTCAACAATTAAATTTTCAATTTGCCCCCCCCTTCTTTTTTTTTTAATTAAAACACCTGCAAATCAAGCCCCTAGTGTTCAGTTAGACACCCAAACAATGAGGAATAAACAACCTGTGAAAAATCTGGCTTATGGGAGTTGCTGCACACCACATAGGAATCCTGTGGCAGTAGATAGAATCAAATCCCAGAGTAGCATTCAGTTGCCTTAACCACAAGTTTATTCTCTCTCTTCCTGCAGTTCGCTGCTTCATTCACTATACTCTTTCCAACTTATGCAGCAAATGAGGTAGGGATCCGACAAACAATAGCCTCATTCACTCCACAACCTTGGTTCATCTCCAGAGCACCAGTCATCCTGCACTATGAATAAGGCAGAGGGTCTGTGGGAAAAAAATGTGATCATACAGTTGAAGATTGTATTATAATCTTCTTAGCACATGCTCAGTGTGCCTCAGGAGGCACGTGACCAGGATGCATCACCGAATTTGGTCCACTGGTGGTATTATAATGAATATGCACAAGGGGGCTGAATTAAGGTTGCACAACCAGTCTTAGTTCTGGCATTTCCTAAACTTCCAAGTGTTTGACTGTGCAACCTTAAAGTTCTCTGAATGTAATTTTTAAAAAGGTAATTGAACATTTGTATTATAGTAGTGCCCAAAGGCCTCTACTAGGATTTTGTCCCCTAATGCTAGCAGCACAAAAACACATAATAATGCTCTCTGCTCCAAGGAGTTTATAATCTAAGATTACAAGTGGGATATGATGGATAGAGGGATACAGAAATCAAATATATATAATTTTGATGGGCATAATGTACAATAAAAAAAATCTTCAAATATATATAAGTGCCAACTATCCTCATCTGAGTCATAATTAACTTAACACTGATTTAAGTGTCATGGCACAGTTGGGACCTTGACGAGAGATCTGGGATCAGCTCAAAGAATAGGTTCCACGTGTAAGAAGGTGCAGAATCATATATATGAGAAGGTGACAAACGGCTAAACAAGACTAGCATAGTTAACAGAACAGAGAAACCATGTTTAATGTGATGAGAGACAAGCAAAAGCACATAGCTAGGGCAGAATTCTGAAGGTTGTGGGAGGTGAGGACAAGAAGCTTGACTTTGATGCACTGAAATAGGAGGAGAATGGACTCAGGAAGATGATCTTAGAAGCTGCACTTTATGTCCTTTGGAATCATATGACTCTTTCAGCCATGTTACCCTAAGACATTTGGTTTATGTAATTCTACCTGTCTGTCTGTCTACTGGTATGCTGTATTGCCTTATCCCTGGCCTTCACGTGTATGCTTTGATGTTAGTCCTACGTGGGGAGAGATGTATGGAAGCAACACAGGTGGCCTTCAGATACCAAAATAATCTGTTTAAGATGCAGCAAATGGAAACGGGAAAAAGGAAATTGTTTCCTTGACAGGTACTTTTGAGCCAGCCCTGCGATCCTTGTATTATTTATACACATGATAGAAGTAAACTAAAGAACGTGGTCAATGTTAGGCAGCCAGACCAGGTGACCTTGATCAATACCACTTGCATAATCCTTTCCCCAAAATTAGATTGGGCTTGTAAGAAAAACATTTCCTCACTTGTCATACTGTTTCTCTGATCACAGCCACATCTTTAAATAGGTGTACAGTAAAGTAACTTCACCCGAAATTGTAACTAAGAAAATAAGAGTTTAAAAGTAGTATTTACCCATCTGTCAATTACTTTACCCATACAGAATGCCTCCCTCCAGAATTCAACATAATTTAGCATGAGACTCAAGCCCTATCCACAATGGTAGTTCAGGATAACATGGCTTATCTGATCAGTATGCAAAGGCAGAATAGTGTAAGCATTTAAAAACCATTTCTCTAGATTTTTTCACCTTTCGAATCTATAAATGTTTTAAAGCTTATGCAGAATCTACACTGGCCAGGCAAACGTTTTAAACTTGTTTCTCTGACAGGTTTTCATTACCAATATAGGTGACACTTTAAACACAGTCTGAAGGGCAACAGTGCATCTCATCTACAAGAAATGCTGAAATAATTAATGATTTACAACATACAGAACTTACAGTAATGATAGTTGATATAGTGTGTGTCTTTTGGGCCTTTCAACTACAGGGCAAATTTCACTGTATCAAATGAACAAACTCCATACACCTGTCCTTCACGCAAAAGGCTAATACTTTATCAACATTAATTCATCAAGATTAAGTTATTTTGACATAACTAGGGTTTCTAAGCACTATGGTAATACAAATAATAAATAACATAATGATGTTCTATATGAATGCAAAGCTTAATCATCAAGCCCAAAGCATCGCACTTAAAAAGAAAAGAGTGCAAATGGAAGTGGAGTGGACATTAGCTAGAGTACTTGCTATACTGTATTTGAAGTTTTTACATTTTAGATTTTTAATTATTTTATTTTTTGCAGATCACGTCAAAATCCATTCATCTCTCGTTCTCTTCTTTTCCACCACTACGGGTGGATGGGTGGTAGCCCATAACTGAATGTGATGATACAATGAAAATGTAAAAGCAAACACTATTTTTAAATGTGGAAACTGAACATTTCTTTGAGCTATTAGGCTACCTAAACAGTAGTGAAACATACTATATGCACTGATGACTGCTAGTAGCCCACTTGGTCTGCACTGCTGTTATTAATGCATGGCTTTGTTTATATACACAGAAAAATTACCCTAGATTCTTTTAATAAAAAATGTTTAATGCAGGCCTCTTGGATTTGAAGGGGCATTAAACTGTATCCTTAAATCCTTATTGTACTACAATTAAAATAAATATTGGACAGGTAAGCCAGAGCAGGCAAGGAAGAATGGTCACTTAAAAATAAAAAAGGCATGTTTGATTTATTTAATTCCTGATTCTTGTTTTCTTACAATGTCTTTTTCAGATAAGAACATAAACGTAACAAAAATCTGTTTAGGTGATTGACAATAAAATAAGCAGTGATGCAGACTATAAGAATAAAAAACTGAACACAGGAAAGTACGTTTATTTAAAATATTTACTTTAAATTTAGGTATTAGTTTTCTACTGTTCCAAGCTTAACATGGGGAATCTTAGTTTGGATGGGGTAAAGGGACAAAGGAGCAAGAGGAGAAGTGTTCAGGTTTTTTTTGTTTACCGGATTAAAATTATCTAAAGTTAAAAGCAGTATCTTCTAGAGCCAAAAAGAAACAATACAAACCAAAATAAGTAACAGAGTTCTAAATGCTAGCTCACTTTCTACACTTTTATACTTTCTGGGTGAGATTTTAAAAAGCATTCCACTCTAGCCTAATCTTAGTTCCCACTGAAGTTAATGGGAATTATACCATTATTTTTAGGGGAGGAGAGCTGGGATGATTTTGAGCATTTTTGAAAGTCACACCTTTCACTTCAGTATAGAAGTTGGTAGATGAAAAATCTACCAAATTAAAGTACTTAATAAATAATGAAAAATAAAACAAATTAAAATTTTTAGTTTAAAAAAAAAGTCACAGCTGCACTGACCTGGAGGGGCTGGAACAGCTTCTCTCAGATTCCTAGAACACAAGCGGAAAGCTGAAACAAAATGAAGTTTATTTACTCCTTCACATTTACAGGAAAATCCACCCTCCCCAAAGAAGGGGGTAAATGCCTCGTTTTACAGACCTATTGGATACCACCACCACCACCACCGGATTTGAAACACAAAAGTGTTTAAAACACAAATGAGATTCTCCCTACTGTAAGTCAACCTTCTGAGACAAAGTATTTGACAGTCTGGACCAAGGGGTTTTCATCTGATGTTCAAACTTACTAGGCAGAGAAATTACTACTGGCCTCCAAGAATTGTTCTCCCACCCAGCTATACTCTTTACAAGCCAGTTCCTGTGCTTTCCTTAGCACAGGATATGCTCCAGTGTACTGCCATGAGGCTTTTGTATAGGGTTGAAGGGTGTTTAAATGACAATTTCTGTGGTGTGTCAGAGTCCCTGCACAAGTGGATCTTCTGAGCAATGTTCTGTCCCTGCAAAGGAGAGTGGGGGCTTGGTCACTGAAGCCTGTAGGACTACAAATGAGCTGGGTGGGCTCCACTTTGAGGCACCACTTGTCATAAAAGGACAGTGCTAAAGAGAGTGAGGCCTTCAGAATACAGTTTAGGAGAATTTGCAGTAAACACTTTGAGATGGGAATGGAACCAGGAGCCTAAGCTCCTAACACTCACTTACGAGACAGGAGCTGTGCAGAGGGTGGAGGATTCACTACCTAAAGCAGGGGCTGGAAAACTTTTTGGTCTGAGGGCCACATCGGGTTTCAAAAATTGTATTGAGGGCCGGTTAGGGGAGGCTATGCCTCCCCAGACAGCCAGGCATGGCCCAGCCCCCGGCCCCTATCCGACCCCCCCCTGCTTCTTGCCCCCTGATGGCCCCCGGACCTCCCACCCCTAACTGCCCCCTGCTGCCTCATTCAACCCCCCCCCTTCCTGACTGCTCCCCTGGAACTCCTGCCCCCATTCAACCCCCCTGTTCCCCACCCTCTGACCACCCCAACCCCTGTTCACACCCCTGGCCCCTGACCACTCCTGGAACTCCCCTGCCCTCTATCCAATTCCCCACCCCTTACCACGCCGTCTGGCTGGAGCCAACCACGCACCGCGCAGCACAGAGCACTGGGTCAGGCCGGCTTCTGCAGCTCTGCTTCCCCAGGAGCTCGCAGCTCCGCTGCCCAGAGCATTGTGCTGGACCTCAGGGGTTGAGCAGAACGGTCCCGCGGGTCAGATGTGGCCCACGGGCCATAGTTTGCCTACCTCTGACCTAAAGGCAAGGAGAGCCAGAGCCTCCTACTTTGCTGTTGCCACTATTTGCCTTGCTGTAAGAGGCCATTTTGTTTGCCCTGGGAAGAAGACTTAAAGCTGGGCTTGCTCTAGTGGGTCTTGACGAAGAGAAAGAAGGGATCTAACAACTACAGCATCATGAAGAGATCTAAGCACAAATAGCCACAGCATTTTCTGCCCGTCTGAATGGCTAACTGCTTTATGAGGTTCCAAGAAGAAAGCAGCGGAGAGAGCACATAGAAGGAGCACAGCTAGACAGAAAGTAAAAAAAAGTCTGAAGCTGATGATTGGTCACATTGCCAACCAATCCAAAAAGCAGAAGGAAACCCATTTGTCCAGATTGTCAAATGACCTCAAGTAGAAAGATCCAGTACACAGCCCAACAACATCAGCAGACCTAATTATGGAATGGGGTATGTGCAGAGGAACAAGGAGAGTATGACTTGGTGAGACAGGGACAGAGCTGGAATAAAGGTGAAATTTTTCTGTGTGAAAGGCAAGTGGAAGGGTAAGCATTGCAGGCAATATGCAAGAGATAATTTTTTGTGTGTTGAGGTTTTTTGATAGGAATATGAAAAAGTAAAATTACTAATACTGATACAAATACAGGGAAGGACCAAATAAGCAAATATGAGTTTGGGTGATAGGATATAAAAATAAGTTTAAATACATTCATATTCTCTTCTAAAGTGTATTTTATGTCCTTAAAAACATTTCTGTTCGAAACATTTCTGTTTCTACTGTTACTGAAGCTACAACATCCTATGATAAACTACATAATTAGCTGAATCTGGAAACAAAGGTGACTTACAGTTTGGCAAAAATAAAATTTTAGTTCTCTCAGAAATTTCCACAATAATATTCTTTTCTAAGTGAATTATGATTTATCTTCTGAATTCACCTGTCTGGGTTCTTATATCTCAAAATTTCTCATGGAAATTCAGTTAATCAGAAATGAAAACTCTTATCTTCTGTCACTACAATATGCAAGGTCATTTTTACTGTTTCAACTTTATTAATAAAGCCAGAAAGTTCATTTCTACATTGTTTCACACCATCATATAGCTATGAATTTGATACAAATACTCATTTCTGAGTTTTTAATATGAAGAATTGTTTCACTGGTAAGATTTCTGTTATATAAAACAGTAGATTTTAGAAGGGTCTTTACCAAAATAATAGAATTGACCACTTTGAGCACTCCTTTGTGAAACTTGTCTGCATTTACCTACAAATGGAAGTGTTCTACACTTCTTGGACTCAGTCAAAGCCAAAACTTCCTCACTGTAAGAACAATGCAACAGACTGCATAGGGAGGTCATGGAAGCTCCTTCACTGGAGGTGTTCAAAAGGAGGCTGGATAGGCATCTGTGTTGGGTGGTTCAGACAAACCAAATCTTGCAACTTGGTGCGGGGTTTAAACTAGATGACCCTTCCAGTCCCTTCTACCCTATGATTCTACATCTAAAACTTATGTTGACCAAGCTACATTGCAGCAAGATGTCATTAAGCCCTGGCATAAACACCATTATTCTTCCATCCACCTAGCTACTGTCTGTTGATGGGGTGGATTTACTAAAGCAATGGAAAAACCCCCTCTGTCGCTGTAGCAAGTGTCTATGGGCTGGTCTGCAATGGAAAGCTATATCAGCTTAGCTATGTCTTGCATGTTGCATGTAAGCAGTGCTAGGTCGATGGAAGAATTCTTCAATCAACTTAGTTACCACCCTTAATTACCCTCCTACAGTGACGCGAGAATCCCTCCAGATGCTGCAATAAATGCTACAGCAATGCAACTCTGCCACTGTAGAAATTTAAATGTAGACTTAGCCTATGCTACAGTGGCATAGCTCCAGCTGTGCCTTAAGTCACGGAGTGTGAATCTTGCCCTTACTCAAGCCAATGGCAAAACTCTCATTGACTTTGATAGGGCCAGGATTTCACCCTGAATTTCTACTACGTAATTAATGCAGAATACAATCAGGAACAATGTGGCATAGATTTGGAAACATATTACAGAATTATGTAATAATCCAGACTTTCTACTTACATACACTTTACACATATATTTTCCTGCTAATAATCATCTTTCAGGTACTACCTACTTTTTTTTTTAAACTATGTTTTCCATTTATATCAAATATGCACTTTTGTTAATTATGGGGACAATAACTACTTGAAATCCAGTCATTTTTACAAAAATTAGTTAAAAGTCCTTTGAGAAGCCACACAACTACCTTTGAGTTTTTCTGCCAGTTTTTGCAGTTTTACAATCAGATTTTTTGAAGTGTCCTTCCATTATTGTTATGTGAAAAATTAGGGAAAACTCAGTGCTGACAAATAGACAAAGGAAAATTGAAAAAGGTTTGTTTTTTTCCTACTCTCTTTAGAGTAGTAACATTTTAAGATAGTAATCATAGGTATTTCTTGTAACAACAGTAAAGGTATTTCAGATAGAAGTGTGATTGGTAGGTTAACAGTGTCCCATTAATGCCAGGAGAATCTACATCTGGTGTCATATAAAGTTGTTTTTATTTATTATATGTTCTGCATTAACATCCTACAGCTCCAAGAAGGAGCAGGGACCCTTTGTGCTAGGTGGACAAATATGTAGGAAAGCAGTACCTGCTCATAAGGGCTTACAGTCTAATTTAAGATGAGATGTAACAAGTGAGAGTAACAAGCAACAAGGGATGGTAGAAGAGATGACAGGTGTAACAGTAATAATAAGATCATGCAGTTAAATAAGCTAGCTAATGCGCACCACTTGATGACTTCAGTAAGTATTACTACATAATACTGAACCATACTATGCTTGTTACTGTGAAAGTCTTCATTAGGTTCTTTTTAAGTGGGAATTTGATAAACATTTTCTAATATTGGAGGTGCACCAGGTAGAGATCAGATAAAATTTCAGAAAAGAAATGTATGTCAGCTAAGAGTTAAACATTGGCACATGGCTTTTATTTTTGGTCTTAAATATCTACAGACAAGAAGCTTAAACAAAGAAAAAAAACCCAAAGATGAACTAGAATGGCTAAAAATGGAAGAAGACCTTGACATAATAGGCACATCGGAAACACAGCTGAATGTCAAAAATTAAGGGAATACAGTATTATCTGGTTTCAGAGTAGCAGCCGTGTTAGTCTGTATTTGCAAAAAGAAAAGGAGTACTTGTGGCATCTTAGAGACTAACCAATTTTTTTGAGCATAAGTGAGCTGTAGCTCACGAAAGCTTATGCTCAATAAATTTGTTACTCTCTAAAGTGCCACAAGTATTATCTGGGTCTATCCTATGCAAAACCAAACAGATTAGATTATACAGTGAACCCAAAAGATTTAATACAACCAAATAAGACAACATTTCTGAGTAGAAAGAAGGCTATACGGCAGAATCTGTATGGCTCCAAAAATTCCTACTAAGAAGAATACATCTATACCAACAAAATTAGGCTTACTAGCCTCCAAATCAAGAAAAAGATATTGAGTGTGCAATGAAGATCAAAATATTAATGTACAACTTAACTACCCAAATATAAAATGATGATAAACAAATAAGTTGCCCATCCTCCCACCCAAAAAATGCATTTTTATTATTATTCATTTAAATTTCTGTCGGTAACCTTTAATGTAACAAGGAATCCTGGTGAAGTTTAGTGTATTTTTTGTTTTTTTAAACTTCACACACTGCAATGAGGCCCTTTGAATCTGTAATATGCTATATAAATGCTAAGTGTTATTTTCACAATGGTGTTTTAGTAGGTGTTACAACTACGAGATCAGAGCAGTGTTCTACCTAATCCAGCATCCTCTCTCTAGCCCCAGTTCTGCAAACATTTGTTTTAAATCAATGGGGCTATTTCTAGTAGTAAAGTTAAGCATATGCATATGCCTTTGCCGCATTGGGGCCTCTGATAATAGCCACTACTTCAGAGAAAAGTTCAAGAAATCCTGCATTTGACAGTTATGGAATAACCTGCCCATAGGGGATTTTTTTCCCGACCCCATCTGCTAGTGGCTGTCTTATACTCTAAAGCAGTAGTTTCCACCATTTTTTCCATTTGCAGACCCCTAAACATTTTCAAATGGAGGTGCAGATCCCTTTGGACATTTTAGACAGTCTGCAGTCCCTTGGCCACGGGCTTGAAAACCACTGCTGTAAAGCATAATATTTTATATCTAATGTAAGTGCAGATATTCTCAGTGGCCACATATATGGCTATTTTTGTTTGTTTTAGTTCTACTAAACTCTTGCACTCAAGACAGCTTGGGGCAATAGAGGCACTAAAATCCAGGATTCACGGACTGGGATATAAGGGAGATTTGAACAAAGATTATGCTAAATGGGGTGGAAAGGAGAAAACAAAAAGGCCAGAATTCATTTATTTGGAGAAGCAGACAGCCTAGAACTTACTAGTTAAAATTCAAAAAACCTCAAAAATTCATTAATTGTGGGGTCAAAGAAAGAGATCAAAATGTATTTATTTTTGGAAAGAACAAACAATTTATTTGAGGGATGGATGGGGAAAGAAAAGGCAACCAGAATACATGTGAGACAGGAGTATCCCAAATGATTTTATTTGCAAGACCAGAATTATTTTATAAGTGGGGGAAAGTCAAGAGGTTGCAATGTAAATTAAATAGGTAGAAGGATGTGGCAGCACATGAAGTCCCTACCTCCAATTAGCAAACTTAATCCTGAGGCAAGAGAGGATCACATTAGGAAAGATTTTCAAGCCCTATAATATAACCATCATGCTTTGAATGTCTGGGCACCAGTGCTGCCTCACATAAAGCATCTTCTTGGTGGACCACAAGTAGCTAAGAGGTTATAGATATTGAGAGGACCCTAGAGAAAACACACACAATTGGCACCAGTGTCCAGCTCCCACTCACCAGTCACAATGGTGATGGGCGCAAGCAGACCACCACAACCCAGGCCAGGCCTGAAACAGACACAGGTCACGGAGGTTCGTCCACATGCAGGGGCAGAGCGACAACCCCCTCTACGGCAGGTCAGCTCTGCCCAGCCCTCCCCTCTTGGCAGCTGCTGTGGGGCACCTAGGGTCTTCCATCTCCCTCCGCCCTCCTCCCTACCCAGGGCAGATACAGGCGAAGAGAGGCTGGCTCGGCCCCCTCAGCGGCAGGGGGAGGGACAGGCCTCGCCGCACCCCTCAGCCCTCCCCCCGCAGCAGCGGAGAGAGCGGCCCCTCCGCCCCCAGGGACGGGTGGGAGCCTGCTGTACCTGTCAGGGCAGGCCGCTTCCGGGAAAGGAGCCTCGCCCTGGGGCAGGCGCGGGGACTAGCCTACCTCGGGGGCGGGTAACGCTCTCCTCCGCGCTGGCTCCGGCCCGGACCTCGCGCCTCTACGGGCGGCGGGGGCCACAGGCCGCGGTGGGGGCGGGGGTCTCTAGGGAGAACGGCGCCGCCATGTTAATGCCTCTCGGACACCCCCACTTAGCCCAGGCCGCGCCGCCCCCCTTCACCCGCCCGCTACGGCTGAGGCGCAGCCGCGCACAAACCCCGCTACAACGCGACGGAGGCGCTGCCGGGCTCCCCTTCGCCGCGCTCTGTTTACAAACTCACCCCGAGCAGATGGGTCGAACCGCACATTAAAGGCCCGGTCCCCAACAGGCTTCCGTCCCTTCTCGCGATAACTCACTGACATTCCCCAAGGCCAAAGAAAAGGGGTCACGTGACTCACGGGGTGCTGCTGGTGGAGGTACAGAGCAGGCCTCTGATTGGCTTGGAGGATGGGGCCCTTTAGTGTCTGTGTGGCCGGAAGTGGTAAGCAACAAGTCACCGGCAGTGGAATGGGATGGGGGAAGGACGCTGGTAGTGGCATAAGCTAAGCAGGGCCTGCAAAGTCACGCGGGTGAAAAGGGGACCTTCAAGAGCTGTTACTGGTTTAGTTGGCGACTGTCGAATGGTTACTCTTCCCTCTGGGTTTGAACTGAAAATAATGCGGGGGCGTGGTTGAAGCAAATGCACTTTAGATGAAATGTAAAACTGACCCCTTTGTGGTAATTTAATTTACTTTATCTTTGGGGCAGGGACCATCATTTTGTTCTGTGTACAATGCCTAGCAGCACAATGGGGTCCAGGTCCATGACTGGGGCTCTAAGGGGCTACGGTGATACAAATTAATGATAATTAAAGATGCAATTATATATCTGCAAAAGTAGTGTTAGCTTGAGTGTCACAACCAAACTGCATCTTCAGTAATTCTACTTTGTCTTGCTAAATTTCCCCTTAAGTTTCAATTAAATTTAGCATTCTTCACTTACTGTCCTAAACCATGTTTCTGGGCTCTGCACAATGGCTGGTGAAGTGATGCCTTTGTACACTCAAAAACTTTCTCTCTCTCACCAACAGAAATTGGTCTGGTAACAGATAGTACCTCACTCACTTTGTCTCTCTAAAAAGAAAAGGAGTACTTGTGGCACCTTAGAGACTAACCAATTTATTTGAGCGTAAGCTTTCGTGAGCTACAGCTCACTTCATCGGATGCATACTGTGGAAAGTATAGAAGATCTTTTTATACTCTCAAATCTTGGGAGACAGGCCAGTCCTTGCCTACAGACAGCCCCCCAACCTGAAACAAATACTCACCAGCAACCACATACCACACAACAGAACCACTAACCCAGGAACCTATCCTTGCAACAAAGCCCGTTGCCAACTGTGCCCACATATCTATTCAGGGGACACCATCACAGGGCCTAATAACATCAGCCAAACTATCAGAGGCTCGTTCACCTGCACATCCACCAATGTGATATATGCCATCATGTGCCAGCAATGCCCCTCTGCCATGTACATTGGTCAAACTGGACAGTCTCTACGTAAAAGAATAAATGGACACAAATCAGATGTCAAGAATTGTAACATTCATAAACCAGTTGGAGAACATTTCAATCTCTCTGGTCACGTGATTACAGACATGAAAGTTGCGATATTACAACAGAAAAACTTCAAAACCAGACTCCAGCGAGAGACTGTTGAATTGGAATTCATTTGCAAATTGGATACAATTAATTTAGGCTTGAATAGAGACTGGGAGTGGTTAAGTCATTATGCAAGGTAACCTATTTCCCCTTGTTTTTTCCAACCCCCCCCCCCCGATGTTCTTGTTAAACCCTGGATTTCTGCTGGAAATGGCCCACCTTGATTATCATACACATTGTAAGGAGAGTGATCACTTTAGATAGGCTATTACCAGCAGGAGAGTGGGGTGGGGAGAGAGAAAACCTTTTGTAGTGGTAAAACACCCATTTTTTCATGCTTTGTGCGTATAAAAAGATCTTCTATGCTTTCCACAGTATGCATCTGATGAAGTGAACTATAGCTCACGAAAGCTTACGCTCAAATAAATTGGTTAGTCTCTAAGGTGCCACAAGTACTCCTTTTCTTTTTGCGAATACAGACTAACATGGCTGTTACTCTGAAATTTGTCTCTCTAATATCCTGGGCCTAACACAAGGACAGCAACATTGCACACAACCTTTGTACTTTGTAAAGTACTTTGAGATCATGAGGGAGAAAGGTTATAATATATATGTAGGAGCTTTACACAACTGTAAAATAATTCTTGATTGGACATGGGGCTTGAAAGGCTTAGAGTAGGGAACAATGGGGATTTTATACTTTCCAACTAATAGGTGCTGGGGGTGTTGCCACACCATCTGGCTTGAAGTGGTTTCTATCATATACAGGGTTTACAGTTTGGTTCAATGACTCAGAACCCTCACTATACAATTTTTCCAGCACACCTGTTCCAACTATACCACTCCCATCTTTTCTCACATAGCACCAATTTCTGAGGAGCTACATTTTAAAATGTACCAGCTCCTGGCTTCTAGCACCACATGGCTTGCAGCACTGGTTGCCTAAAAGTGATTAGAGAACTGTGGGCTACAAGGCTAGTTGTTCAGTTCCCTGCCTTTCCTTAGTCTCAGATTGGCCCAGAAACCTCGGGGTGGGGGGTGGGGGGGACAGGAGGCAAGAACAGATAAAACAGGAGACACACAGCAGCAGGGACAAGATGAGGAGTAAGAACTGCCGATGCTAAACCCCAATATATCCCACTCCACCATATGCTATAGAGCCATTATAGTGGCCTAGATCTGGTTGGGGAGAAAGCAGAGCAATCTCTGAGAAGAAGCAATGAAGGTCTCTATTAACTGCCTCTGTGTCAGATACCAAATGAGCTAGGACTAGAACAATCTACATAGCAGGTTTTCTGAGTTCATGGTGTTCAGAGTGCCACCAGATTTTTTCCTGTTGTGGTCCATACTAGAAGAGCAGGTGATGCAGTTTTCAGTAAAGTCAGTCCAGTGAATACTCTATCACTATCTATAGTATTGTCCCATCAGACTGGCATTTCATTTTGTGCCTGTCTCTCTGTTTCCACAACCTGTGTAAGAGTTTTCTGGTATTCAAGCTCCTAGAGGGATGAACATTATCAAAGCCTGTTTGATAAACCTTTGCTGTCCAATCACAGTTATGATGGTGTGGCCCTTGCTGTCCGCTCTTCAGAATATTTGAGCTAATGACTCTGAATATAATCAGTTTTAAAATCATCTCTTATGACTGCATTTTTTGAGTGTTCAGGGTAAAGTCCTATAGGAAAAGGGGGAGAGTTAATGGAGATTACACTGATTATGAGCCCCAGGAGGATACAGGATGGGTTGAAGAGGATTACAAGGGAGAATAGGAATGGAAAGAACTTGCAGCCAGAGGGAACAGGGGATAGACTGGATAATAGCACCGTCACTAGGAAAAGACAGGTCTATGTGATTGGGGACTCTTTACTGAAAAGAATAGAAAGGCCTGTAACCAGAGCTGATCCAGAGAATAGGAGAGTATGCTTTCTTCCAGGTGCTAAGATACGGGATGTAGACCTGAGGTTGAAAAGGATTCTAAAGGGAGCGGGAAAGAATCCCCTAATTATCCTTCATGTGAGAACAAATGATACGGCTAGATACTCGCTGGAAAGTATTAAGGGAGACTATGCTAGGCTGGGGAAGACGCTTAAGGAAATTGAGGCTCAGGTGATCTTTAGTGGGATTCTGCCTGTTCCTAGAGAAGGGCAACAAAGGTGTGACAAGATTATGACTATCAACAGATGGCTTAGGCAGTGGTGCTATAAGGAGGGCTTTGGGATGTATGGCCACTGGGAGGCATTCATGGATAGAGGTCAGTTCTCTTGGGATGGACTTCATCTGAGTAGGGAAGGAAATAGACTTCTAGGATGGAGGCTGGCACAACTGATTAAGAGAGCTTTAAACTAGGAATTAGGGGGAGATGGTTGGGAGACGTCCAGGTAATCTCCATGCCAGAATTTAGCATTGAGAGGAAAGAAAATGAAGTAAGAGTGGATACAGCCGTGGGTAGGAGGAAGGGCAGTGTAGATACAAGTCTAATAAGTTATACTGGTAGTAAAATGACTGTGCCTAATAGGGTACAGAATGTGAGCGAGGCCAAACAGCAAAAATTAAGATGTTTGTACACTAATGCGAGGAGCCTAGGTAACAAAATAGAGGAACTAGAGCTACTGGTGCAGGAAGTGAAACCAGATATTATAGGGATAACAGAAATATGGTGGAATAGTAGTCATGACTGAACTACAGGTATTGAAGGGTATGTGCTGTTTAGGAAAGACCGAAATAAAGGTAAAGGTGGTAGAGTAGCACTGTATATCAATGATGAGATAGAATGTAAAGAAATAAGAAGCGATGAAATGGATATGACTGAGTCCGTCTGGGCAAAAATTAAATTGGGGAAGAAAACTATTAGAGCCTCCCCTGGGATAGTGCTTGGGGTGTGCTATAGATCACCGGGATCTAATTTGGATATGGATAGAGCCCTTTTTAGTGTTTTTAATAAAGTAAATACTAATGGAAACTGTGTGATCATGGGAGACTTTAACTTTCCAGATATAGACTGGAGGACGAGTGCTAGTAATAATAATAGGGCTCAGATTTTCCTAGATGCGATAGCTGATGGATTCCTTCAGCAAGTAGTTGCTGAACCAACTAGAGGGGATGCCATTTTAGATTTGGTTTTGGTGAGTAGTGAGGACCTCATAGAAGAAATGGTTGTAGGGGATAATCTTGGCTCAAGTGATCATGAGCTAATTCAGTTCAAACTGAATGGAAGGATTAATAAAAATAAATCTGCAGCTAGGGTTTTTGATTTCAAAAGGGCTGACTTTCAAAAATTGAGGAAATTAGTTAGGGAAGTGGATTGGACTGAAGAATTTATGGATCTAAAGGTAGAGGAGGCCTGGGATTATTTTAAATCAAAGCTGCAGAAGCTATCGGAAGCCTGCATCCCAAGTAAGGGGAAAAAATTCATAGGCAGGAGTTGTAGACCAAGCTGGATGAGCAAGCATCTCAGAGAGGTGATTAAGAAAAAGCAGAAAGCATATAGGGAATGGAAGAAGGGAGGGATCAGCAAGGAAAGCTACCTTATTGAGGTCAGAACATGTAGGGATAAAGTGAGACAGGCTAAAAGTCAAGTAGAGTTGGACCTTGCAAAGGGAATTAAAACCAATAGTAAAAGGTTCTATAGTCATATAAATAAGAAGAAAACAAAGAAAGAAGAAGTGGGACCGCTAAACACTGTGGAGGTCAAGGATAATCTAGGCATGGCCCAATATCTAAACAAATACT